CCTCCTCCTCCTCCTTCTCCTCCTCTTCTGCGCTCTGGAACGCTCCCTCCTCCTCGTCCTCCTCGTCCTCCTCTGTCCTCCTCCTCGGTCCTCCTCGATCCTCCTCGATCCTCCTCCACAGCAGAGGCCCCGCCGCCCGCGGCGCTGCACCGCCGCATCCCCCAGCGTGGCGCGCCTGCCGCCCCGCGGGCGGGGCGTTCCCCCGCCGCTGCCGGCGCTGGCGAAGCGTCTTGGCCTGCCTCCACCTCCTCCTCCTCCTCCTCCTCCTCCTCCTCCTCCTCCTTCCTTCGTCCCCCTCCCCCCCTCCTTCCCCCCCCCCCCTCCTTTCCTTCTCTCCTCCTGCCTACCTCCCTCTGCTCCTCCACCTCCTCCTCCTCCTCCTCCTCCTCCTCCTCCTCCTCCTCCTCGTCACTGGTCAGAGCCCAAAATCATCAGGGGTAAGTCGGGTCAGGGCTAACTCGGCTTCGTTTTCCGGGAATCCGGACCCCGGATGCCCCGGGCCCGAGTCACCCAGGACAGTTCGGGCGTCCAGAGCCCCAAATTATCAGGAGTAGTTTGGGTCAGGGATCATTCGGTTTCGTTTTTCGGGTTTGTTGCTCGGGAATCCGAACCCCAGTTGTCCCCGGCCCGAGTTACCCCGGATAGTTCGGAGTTCCAGAGCCCCAAATCATCAGGGGTAGCTCGGGTCAGGGCTAACTCGGGTTCGATTTTCGGGAATTCGAGCCCCAGTTGCCCCGGGCCCGAGTCACCCCGGATAGTTCGGGCGTTCAGAGCCCCAAATCATCAGGGGTAACTCGGGTCAGGGCTAACTCGGGTTCGGGGTTCGTTTTTCGGGAATCAGTTACCCCGGGCCCGAGTTACAGTTCGGGCGTCCAGAGCCCAAAATCATCAGGGGTAACTCGGGTCCCCACCCCCCCGCGGCGCCTCTGGCGCCGCCACTGGCGCGCTCCGCGCGCCAGGGAGGGGGGTGCAGCGCGGATCCAATAAATCCGCGCGGAGCGCCAAAAGTCTATGTTTATGGCGTTCTTTGTTCTTCTATATAGGCCCACCAGAAAATGTTCCAAGAACCGTCTGTGGTCTGCACGGGAAGATATTTCTGGCCGAGGCTGTATTGTTTTCACGCATCGGGCTTTCATGCACACATCATGCTCTGTTTGTTCGGAGAACCTCCCTGGGTTCGAAGAACACGTCGTGGTTGGCTTATAGGAATGCCGGGACGGCCGGTCCCTTCTCAAAGGGCGGGAGGTGAGAAGGCGTTTGGCCTTCTCAGAAAGCGGCGGGAGTTCTTTGAAGCCCTCGCGCCTTCGGAGAGGTCTTCTGTGCCTTTGGGGAAGGCTCCGAAGCTTTCTCAGCAGGCTGGGGGACGCCGGAGAGCCTTCTGAGGAGGCCTTCTCTCGGCCACACGTGAGCGTGACCCTTCGCCGGAATGGCTCCTGGTGCGAGCCTGCGCGCTTGGATGCAGCCTGCCCGCGACCCCCTGAAGCCGCGCACCAAAGGTCACTCCTTGCGTGTCGCCGAGCATGCTTCTCACTTCCCCCCTTGCTCGCCGCCGAACGAAGCAACTGCATACGGTGGGGGCGTTGGTTCAAGGAATGCGCCCAGAAGGTTGCAGACCCTGGAGGATGCCTTATCTGATGAGGGCGGCGCATGAGTCTCGCGGGGCTACTTCTGCCCAGCCTGCGCGCAGCGCCTGCGCTCCCCTCGCCTCTACCTCGAACGCGAGGCTCGAAGAAGACACAGCGGCAGGCGTGCTCGCGGAGCTCCCAGCGGCGTTTTGAGATCGGCGATGCCCCCCCCCCCCCCCCCCCCTGGTGACGTCTCCAGCACCGCCTCCAGGTGCGCTCCGCGCGCCAGGGAGCGGGGTCCAGCGCGGTCCAAGAAAACCCGCGCCCCCTCTCGACTTCGGCCCCGGCCTGCCCCTCTCCAAAGGTTCGTGGCGTTCCGGAGCGCAGGGGAGGAGGAGGCTGAAGAGGAGGGGGAGGAGGAGGAGGAGGAGGAGGAGGAGGAGGAGGAGGAGGAGGAGGAGGAGGAGGAGGAGGAGGAGGAGGGGAAGGAGGAGGAGGGAGGAGGCGGATGAGGAGGAGGAGGAGGAGGACGAGAGGAGGAGGAGGAGGAGGAGGAGGAGGACGAGGAGGAGGAGGAGGAGGACGAGGAGGAGGTGTGTCTGTGCTGTTTGCTGTCCCTCGCGGCGCTGCACTCCTCCTGCTCACGGCTCCCCTGGCGGCGCTTCAGGTCTGGGCTCGGCGTGGTGGAGCCGCACCTCTTCATTGAGTTGTACTGCGGCGAGGCCGACGATGCCCTGTGCGCCAGTGGCAGCACTCAGTGCCTAGGCCTCCTCGGGACGGGGGTCAGGATCTGGTGGCGGCGGCGGCGGCGCGTGCAGGAGGAGGAGGAGGAGGAGGAGGAGGAGGAGGAGGAGGAGGAGGAGGAGGAGGAGGAGGAGGACGAGCGTGGGAGGGGAGGGAGGAGGAGGAGGAGGAGGAGGAGGACAAAGACAGGAAGAGGAGAAGTGCCGTGAGGGTGGAGACGGGATCTCACGGAGGAGGCGAGAGGGAACAGCGAGAGAGGCTCGTCGCTGGTCACGTGCCGACGATCGCGCCTGCAGTGTAGGGGGTCGTGCTCGGTGTGCGGTGGCAATGCTGCGCTGTGGAGAGACCGCAGGCCCCAAAACTGGCCAGGAAAGAGAGAGAGAGAGAGAGATCCTGTAGGTCATGGGATGGGAGAGGGGTTGGGAAGGATGTCGTTGTCACGGTCGTCGTCGTCATCCTCCTCCTCCTCCTACACCTCAAGCTAGCGGTTTTCTACTCATAGTTTGGTGAAGTCCCTTTCCCGGTTGGGAAGCTGGCGGCTTTCATCCATTCGTCCGACACCTCCTGCCTGCCCGGCGTCACTGACCTCGGACTGGGGTGCGGGAGCTTCGATGATTCGATTTGCTACCCAGCCGCAATAAACAGGCCACAGTATGGACTCAAACAACGGGGTGAGCAGGTAGGGCAAAGGAGAAGGAAGAAGGTGCCAGTATTAGCCTGGCGAAGGATCAAACCCAAAACAGCTGCGTGTAGCGCATGGGGTTGCTTTCTCCTCATACACAGCGCGCTGCGGGTGGAAATTGGAGCCTCCCATGGGGCATGATTCGCGTTAGTGTTGTGCCGATATTGGGCGGGGGGCGCCATGCGAGTTCCCACACTTCTGCCGCTCGTGCGGGGCGTGCCGAAGTGGGTTGGGGACGTCGTGAGAGCTCCCCTTTTTGCTGGGCCCGTGCGCACGACGTGCGCGAGCGTCGTGCTGAATGGAGGTCGGGGTGGGCAGAGGCCTGCAGCGCAGCAGCAGCGGCAGCGGCCCGCAGCCTGCAGCAGGAGGGCGCGGCACCGGTGGCAGGATAGGGGAGGAGGCGGCGGGAGGAAAGAGGAGGAGGCGCGGCGCAGCGCAGGAAGAACACGGGCGCCCGGTTCCGTGGGAGCGCCGGAAAATCTCGGCGGCAGGGCGGGCGGGAGAAGGGGGATGGGGATTGTATTTGCACGCCCGAAATGGGTACGGAAAGAATGGGTATCATGCCCAACAGCAGTTCCTGTTCATTTTGAACAGGGCTCGCTGTCCGCGCCGCCGCGGCCAGTGTCCATTCGAGACAGGAGGCCGCCTGCCCAACAGCGGCCGCTGCTGGTTTGGGACAACATTTGCTGTTGGGCATTGTACCCATTTTTTCGGTACCCATTTCGGGCGTCCAAATTGTAGTGTGATGCTGGTTTCGGACGGGGGCACTTGGGTTCTCCCGCCCTTGGAAGCTGGCGCTGGCGAAGGTTGGGAAGCCCCATGTGGAGTGGTACAGCGTGCCTTCCGGGGAAGGCGCGAGAAGGAAGTGGGGAAGAAGAGGCAGATGGGCGGCATGGGAAGTGGAACAGGAGGGGGGACGACAGAGCGACAGGAGCGGGTGTAGGATCACACCTCCAGCCTTCCCCTTCCGCCCCCCCCCCTTCGAGGAAGAGGCCCAGGCATGCGATGCGTTTTCTTGTCACTTTCCCCAGCGCTGGCTCTTCATCCCGAGTCGTTTTCGGACGGCCCCGGGGCCCTGCGAGGGCCTCCGGATGCCGAAGACTGCCAAATGAGCTTCCCGCCGTGCTCTCTGCCCACCGCGCGAGCGCATGTCTGTGGTGGGGGGAGGATGCGGACGGAGAGGCTCGGCATCGCTTGGACGTGTGCCTCTCTTCTTGGCAAGGGCCATCGAGGAGCATGTGAGGTCATCCTGCGAAAGATACGCGCACGAAGCCGAACAGTGCACAGGGAATGGACGTCCGAGCGATGGCGTCCCTGAGATCCGACGTCTCAAAAAATCGCGACTTGATCCCCAGACCCAATCTTCCTGCACCATCTTTCGAGCCGGATCCACCTGTGCGGGTCCTGGGGGCCGAAAGTGGGCGAAAACGTCCAGGTCGAAAGAAAAAGTCGCCAGGATCTCAGGGGAGGAGGAGTCTAGGCCTCCTAGATGGGGTCGGAGCAGATGGGGTCGGAGGATCGCGCTGCATCGCCGATGCATCGACGATGCGGTTCGATACGGAGCCTGATTTTCTCCACGCCGACGTCGCCGATGCGTCTCCGACGTCGCCGATGCATCGCCGATGCATCGCCGATGCATCGGCGATGCATCGGCGATGCGGTGCGATCTTTCGACCCCATCCACTCGGACCCCATCTGCCCTGACCTTCCAGAGAGTTATTTTTTAGCACTGGAGACCTAAAAACCTAAAAAGCTGAGCGAAACCGCCTAAAACCAAGACGTAGAATGGCTCTGGGATAGGTCTTTAAGTCGGGTGCTATTTTTTGGCCCTCCTGGAAGGTCAGGGCGGGAGGCCTCTGAGGAGGAACGAAAGAGCGGCGCCGAAGCCAACCAGTACGTCCGGGTGAAGCCCATCGGCAACTGCGAGGAGCCGGCCCGTGGTTACGCCTTGCGCGGCGGCCGCCGCCGCGGCATGGGGGGCCCACCGCTGGGGCTCTGAGGGGGGGCGCTGCCGCTGCCTGGCCTTGGGCGGCGTCTCCCGCGCCCCCGGAGCCGGCCATTCATCTCCTCCCTGCATCTGCTCTTTTCCCCTCCTCATTTACCCTCTTCTTCCTCCTCATCTTCCTCCTCCTCCTCCTCCTCATCATCATCAGCATCATCATCACCAGCATCATCCTTCTTCCGTACCTCCAGATCATTCTCACCCATCCCCGGCGGTGAGGCTGCGGCCCAGCTCGAAGGGGAGAAAAAAGCGTCATCAGCACAAACTTTCGGCGCTCCGCGCGGATCGGTGCTGGGCCAACTGGCTGCGCCTCCGGCGCCACCCCTGGCGCACTCCGCGCGCCAGGGAGGGGGGGGCCAGCGCGGATCCAAGAAAACCCGCGCCCCCTGTCGACGTCGGCACGGGCATGCCCCTCTCCCGAGTTTCAGGGCGTTCCAGAGCGGACGGGATGCTGAGGATGAAGAGGAGGAGGAGGAGGAGGAGGAGGAAGAGGAGGAGGAGGAGGAGGAAGGAAAAGGGAGGAGGAGGAGGAGGAGGAGGAGGAGGATCCCCTCCCCCTCCAACTTATGGTGGTGGTGGTGGTGGAAAGCAGGCCCACCAAGCGTGTCGCTTCCTCTGTGTTGGCCTAGCACGCTTCGACGCGACGCGCTATGCACGCCCCCATCCCCAGGCGTCAGCGTCCTGAGCCTTTCTGCCGACCTCCCGCCCCGTGGTGCCGAGCGACACGCTGCCCGCTGGCAGGGTGTGGCGTGTCGCTGGGGCCGCCGCCGCGACACGCTGAGCGGGAGTTCCTGACCGTGTTCTGATGCCGCGAACTCCCTCACTGAGGTGGCCGCGCTCGGGCCACAGTTGGGTCGGGCATGTCCCCCTGCAGGCGGGCTCTGGGCGAAAGTACAATACCATTGATTTTTTTTTGTTACAGTACAGCTTTAATTCCTTTCTAACTCCTTTTTCCTTCCTGGCCCAGACCTCCCGGCGTCGTAAAAAACAGAAAAAAACGCCGCGCGAAAGCTTCGTCGCAGCTACAGCTACAGCTACAGCTACAGCATTAATTGCTCAGCGAATTATTTACTGTAGCACCCTACAGTACAGCTACAGCATTAATTGCTCAGCGAATTATTTCTGTTAGGGAAAAAAATCAATGGTAAGAAAACACGCAACGCGCATTCAAACACATGCAAACATCGTCCCCAGGCTATTTTAAAAACTATGTTTGCATATCCCTCCTGTAGAGGGGACGCGCCCGACTCAACCAGACGCGCGCCGCCGCGCATGCGCGCGCGCACGGGGCAGAAAGCAGGGTCTCGCCGAAGCGGCCGAGCGAGGGAGCAGGAGGAGGAGGAGAAGGAGGAGGAGGACGAGGAAGAGGAGGAGGAGGACGAGGAAGAGGAGGAGGAGGAGGAGGAGGAGGAGGAGGAGGAGGAGGAGGAGGAGGAGGAGGAGGAGGAGCAGGCCCCCTGGGGCCGCCCGCTCCTCGCCTCCAGCCGCCGAGCCGGCCGCCGCCGCGTGCCGACGGCCGCGCACGGCGCGCCCTTCGGGGCGCGCTCCGCGCCAGGGCTGCGGTCAAGTATCGTCCTCCTCCTCCTCCTCCTCCTCCTCCTCTTCCTCCTCCTCCTCCTCCTCCTCCTCCTCCTCCTCCTCCTCCTCCTCTTCCTCCTCGATCCTCGATCCTGGGGATGGGGAGCGTGTCCGGGGGAGACGGTCTACCCACGCTAAAGTCACCCACGCGCAGCCCGCCAACATCATGTGTATCATGTGTGAAGTGGCTTCGTAAGACATCTGTGTCTTCATGCGCCTCTTCTGCGGGTCCGTGGGGGCCGATGAGTGCCTCCGCACCAGGCGTGGGACCTAGTTCACCGCAGTTGACGTGTCTTGGGTTGGTGAGCTCGGGCACCAACCCAAGACACGCTAAGATCGTTGGGTTTTCGGCGTGCGCCGCGCCGTGTGGCTTCGGCCATCCGCCACATCAACAGCTTATCCACTTCGTTCCGCGCCAGGGTTAAGTCGGGCACGTCCTTCTACAGGAGGAACACACAAAACCACTCGAGGGATAGTCAGGGGACGATGTTTCTCGTATCTTTCAACCATGCTTGGGTATTTATGTGGGGGGTACTTGTAAGCTTTCGTCGAAGAGCGGCCTGTATAGGGAGACGTGCCCGACCTAACGCCAGGGCCCTCCGCAGCCCGCCCCGAGCATCTCCGGGAGCTGCGTCCGCTTCCCGGCTGCTGCGAGCCATGTCGCCATCGCTTTCGAGGAGGCGACCGGGCGGGCCGACTCTGCGGAGGAGTGCGCCGGTGCTCTTCTGCAAGAGGAGGGGCACGGCCACGCGCCCCATCGGGGTGGCAGGGCTCTGGCGCCGAGGAGCCGACGAGGAGCTGGCGCACGCGCGCTGTGAGGCCAGCGAGGAGGAGGAGGAGGAGGAGGAGGAGGAGGAGGAGGAGGAGGAGGAGGAGGAGGAGGAGGAGGAGGAGGAGGAGGAGGAGGGGGGCGCGGCAGCGCAGCGTCGGCGTGCCGGCTGGCACAGACGCCCTTGCGTGGCAGGGGCTTCGTGGGGAGGGTTGTTTTGGCAGTGATCGACGTGGATCTGTCGAGGGCGTTTGCTTCCTTGGAGCAGGCTTGCATCCGCGACGCCGTCCCCGAGGACCTGCCCGCTCTCCTGCCCTTGGCATCGCGGATGCACCGCGAGCCCTCTGCGATTATCAGGAGGGGAAAAACACACAGACACAATGAATCGTCGATCCCCCAGAAAAAAACCTATGGGAAAATATGCGAAGTGGGGGGAAGACGAAAGTCCAACAAATATGGGAAAATATGGAAGATAGTTTTATTTGTATGTGTTTACTTGTGTGTCCCAGGGCCCCTTCAGATTATCTTGCCCTCTGGGCAGCCGCAACTCGTGGATCGCAGCGCGGAGCAGGGCGATCCCTTTGGGCCTTTGCTGTGCGCTTTTGGCTTTCAGGCGAGTCGCGGCCTGCGCTCGCGCCCAGGATCGCCTGCAACTCGCCGGACGACGGCCAGATCGTCGTGCAGCTCCAGCGCTCACCCGTGGCAGCGGGCGTTCGTTGCCGAAACCGGCTTGCTGGAGGATACATCGGCTGAGCTCGTGCTGATGCGGCACTGCTCGGCCGTCTGCAAGGTGATCCACCTGCTCCGCGCGGTGGGACCGACCATCAGCGAGGAGGCGCTAGCCAGGTGCTATAACATGCTCCGCCGCGCAACTTGGGAGCCCCCAAACCAGGTGGTGAGGTATCAGGTGGTGACCTGGTTTTGGAATACGGGGTCATTACCGCCGGATTTTTTGACTCCTGGACCCACCAGCGTTCGGGACATCCTCGAAAAACCACACCAGTCCCCAAACCGGGTGGTGACACCAAATCGCCCGAGACTCACCGCCGGGTGTTGTCACCACCACGCTTGGGGACTACCAGGCAACGGCACGCCTGCTTGGCGTGCCGCAGTGTCGTTGCACCAGTGTTCCGCGGGCGTTCGCTTGGGCGGGCTCGGCCTCCGCAAGGGGTTGCGGCGTGGCGCTGCCAGCGTTCTTCGCTCCTCGCACGGGAGCGCGGGCTCCCGTGGCGAGCCTGCGAGGCACTCCTCTGCGGGCGCGCTCCGGTGCGCAGACCGCGTTCGCCCGGCAGGCGCTCCAAGGCCAGGCTGCCCTCGGCTGCCGCGGAGGCCGCAGCCACGGTCGGCCTGCGGAGGGGCCGCGAGAGGCGAGCGCCGCGCGGAGGGCGCGCTGCTGGTTGGGGACGGCCTCATCTTGCCAGGTTGCTTCTCCTCCTCCTCCTCCTCCTGCTCCTCCTCCTCCTCCTCCTCCCCCTCCTCCTCCTCCTCCTTCTCCTCCTCCTCCTTCTCCTCCTCTTCGAGCTGTGAGCAGAGGACCCCGATCGGGCTGGGGATGGGCAGGTGCAGTCTCGCCCCTGCGCGGCGCCATCGGCCGAGTTCGCGAGCGCCGGGCGCTGCAAGGAGCGGGAGCCGGTGGCCGAGGAGTCTCGCGAGCTCGCGCTTCGAGGGAGGGCGCCCCCCCGTTGGACCCTTCCTGGCCCGACGTGCCCGCGAGCTCTTGTCGGGGAGGCGATTGGCGGGCGGTGGCCTCGAGGCGGCGGCGGCGGCCTGCACCGATGCCCCATTGTGGTAGTTGCAGCGCTGCCGCGGGCAGCGAAGAGGCGGGCCCGCCAGGTGGCGCGCCGCGGTCGATGGCCTCTTTCTTTGTCGGGTGGCGCGTGTCCCAGTCGCGCTGTCGCCGAGGGCGCGCCGCCGACCTCTTGGCTTCTGCCCGGGCTCGCCATCTCGCCGCGCTCGTCATCAGTTTGCCGCGCCATGCAGGCATTGCAGCGAGGTGGATGCCATCGGCGTGGGATCCTGCCGGCGAGCCGCCCAGACGATGCGAGCCACCGCGGGCGCGGCGGCTTGGAAGCGCGACGGCTGTCGGCGCCGCCCCCGCCCGCGCCCTGAGCCGCGAGTGACCTTCATCAGGGGCTCGCGCGGGCGGACGCGGCGAAGCGAGCGCGGGCGCAGCCGCGCAGAGGCCGCGGCCCGCCTCTCGCGGGGGCGCCTGGCCCGCGCCCGCGGCAAACGGCACAGTCGCCGAGCACGGCGTCTCTTCCTTGGCGCTGCCTCCTGGGCTCGACGGTCTCAGGTCAGGCCTCGCGCTGGAGGCCGCGAGGCCATCGGCGCAGGCGACCTACCTTCGATCCCCGAGCGGCCTCTGCTCCTGGCTGGGGCTCGCGAGCTCGCCGGTCCGAAGCGCGGCGGAGTGGGGCGATGCCCTGCTGCAGTGCATGCGCGAGGAGTTCGAGGCCAGAGCGCGGCCGAGCGGGGGCCGCGACGTTGCCGTCGGCGCTGCTGCGGGCGCGGCCCGGGCCGAGTCGCCCGCCGCGCGTGACGCTGCCGAGGAGCAGGCAGGCGCTGTGCGGGTGCGGGTGGGAGCGCCGCCAGCCCCGGCAGTCAAGGGCCGCCTCTGCCCTGGGTAGCTAGTCTTGCGCGGGGTGCTGGAAGTGCTGCCCCACCAGAAGCAGACTCTCATTTGGCGCGCGCGCGCGCCCCGGAGCCGAGGTTCCACTGCTACCGTCGGCCCGGGGAGGCGCTCGTAATGGAAGGGTTTCAGCTCGCCCCCCCCGCGATGGGCCTCTCACGGGGATTCCGCTGGAGGACCTCGCTGCCGCGCCCGGAGAAGCTCCGCTGGCAAGCCGGCGAGCTGGGCGATTCGCTGCCCCTGGATGTGCCCGAGCTGGCATGGCTGACGCCGCTGCTGCTCCAGCTGAAGTCGCCCGCGACGCCTCGCGAGCCGCTGCGGGGCGTCGCCTGCGCGCAGCTGCAAGGCAAGGTGGACGGCGCGGTGGCGGCGCTGGGCTTGCCCAAGCTGGGGACTCCAGGCGCGGCGTCGCGAGCCACGACAGGATCGCCAGCCGCAGTTCCATGGGAAGAGCGGTCGCGACGCGCGGCCGCTTGTGCGCTCGGCCGCTGGTCCGGCTGCGCGAGAAGCACGGCAGGTTGGCGCTGCGTGTGGCGCTGGCCCCCGCAGCGGCATGCAGTCCCAGGCGTCCAGCTGCTCAATTTTTTTCGATGCGTGGACCCCCGAGGTCCGGACCACTCCTCCAGAGTTAAGTCGGACCTGTCCTCCTACAGGAGGAATATTCAAAAATAGTCGAAACATAGTCTGGGCCACTCTTAGGTAACTATTTTGAAGCCTTTCTGAATATTTGTTGGATATTTTGTATTTTTCGTCCAAAATCCGCCTGTAGCAGGACACGCCCGACCTAACTCTAGGGCCGCTTTCTCGTCATGAGCCGTTTTTTGACTCTCGGGCGTCAGGACCGTCAACAAAACGACTCAGGACGAATAGAAAGTCACGGCGTCGGATCTTTGGGAAGGTTGGCTCCAAGGCGGCGAGCTTCAGATTCTGTAAGAGGAGGAGGAGGAGGAGGAGGAGGAGGAGGAGGAGGAGGAGGAGGAGGAGGAGGGAGGAGGAGGAGGAGGAGGAGGAGGAGGGAGGAGGGAGGAGGGAGGAGGAGGAGGAGGAGGGAGGAGGGGAGGAGGGAGGGAGGGAGGGAGGGAGGAGGGAGGAGGAGGAGGGAGAGGGAGGAAGGAGGAGGGAGGAGGGAGGAGGAGGAGGAGGGAGGAGGGAGGAGGGTGGAGGAGGAGGAGGAGGAGGAGGAGGAGGAGGAGGAGGAGGAGGAGGAGGAGGCCAGGCACTCCGCCCGCGCCACTCTCCCAGGCCGGGCGAGAGATGGAGGACGGGCCCAAGGCCCTTGCGGTCCAAGCCGTACCCGCTGGGCCTTTCCGGGATCGTCCGTGAAGGATTTGTCGAAGACCGATTTCTGACCACACCCACCTCTGGATCCTCGATTCTACGACAGGCCCTCGGGGGTGGAGGTGGGAAGGTTTTCCTCCCCCTGGGGCGGGGAAACTGCCCACCTCCACCTCTGGAAACCGCTTCTCGCAAGGCGCCTCGGGAAGTGGGTGTGGTCAGAAATCGGTCTCCTAATTTGGCCAAGGTGTGTCTCGGGCATCGTCTTATGTGCCTTTCGAGTTTTCTCGCCAACATTGCAGTCCAGAGGGGCGTTCCCGGAGGGATCGGAAACCGTGGTTCTGCTGGGCTGTGGGAGTGCCCTCCCATGCGGCCCGTGCGTACCTCTTCTGTACCGCCTTGTTCGGGGTGTGTTTGCACATGTCTGCATGCGGGGTGAGCCGCGGAAGCGGACTCGGCTCCGTCTCCGGCACGTCCCCCCGCATTCCCTCGCCGGAGAATGACGCGGGCTGGGGCTTGGCTTCGCTCGGACGTGTGCACTTTTCCTTCGGCGAGGACCATCGAGGAGCATCCTCGATCATGTGGCGAAAAAGCCGCGCACGAAACCGAACAAAAAGCATAGGGAATGGACGTCAGAGCGATGGCCAGTCGCCGGAAAATGACGCGGGCGGGTGGTCCTCGTGAAGCCTTGCGGGAGACCACTTCTTGGGCGGCCGTGGCTCGGCCGTGTCCTCGGGCCCTCTGCGGTGCCCTCGCTCGTGCACTTCCCGCTGCCGCCTCATCCTGGCGGTTCGCCAGCTTGGGACTTGCGTCGGAGGGCACCAATTATACACCAACACCGATCCTGGCCCAGGATCACCCTGGGCCCATGATCGGTGTATATGCCTTCTCGCCCAAGGCAGGAGGGCGTATACACCGATCCTGGGCTCAGGGTGATCCTGGCCAGGATCGGTGTTGGTGTATAGTTGGTGCCTTCCTATTGCGTAAATATCGACGGGCCGTAGAATCATCGGGGGTGGACAGAACCCCCAGCAGTGACACGTCGATTAGTGCATTGTCCGTTTTCGGTTCTCGAGGGGGCGCCGTGGCCGTCGTTTTCCAGGCTTGCGCCCGCCAGGTTTGGGCCTCAGGTCGTTTTCACCGAACCACGTCTTACTAAAGGAGGGTCTGTCCATCCCCGAAATCAGCTCACGAGCGAGATTGGACGCGGTCGTGGCCTTCACTTGTCTGCAGTTCGAAGCTCGTTACGGGACGTGGCCCAGGTCGTGCTCCGCCTTCTTTCAGTCTTGCCCCGGAGAGAAGAGTAACAAGCCTTGGAGATGGTTGATCGGGTTGGCCTGTGCATCTACATGATCCGTAAGTGTGTGTGCGTGTGTGTGTATCATTTTCAGTCCTTCGAGTTGCACCCTTTTCGCTGCCCTTTTTATTGTCTACACGCCAGTCGTTGACAGCAAGAGTTTTTGGATTCCCAGATCCCAGTCTACTTGTGGCGCCTCCCTGCTTCAAGGATCGACCGGATTGCCTTCTTCCCTCCCCTTCAGGGGGCGGGCGGAAGTCCAGTCTACTCCCAGCGCCTTTCCACTTCATGTTTCTGCCCTCTCCTTCCGACCGGCGTGAAGTGTTCATCCCGCAGTATACCTTAGGCGATGCTTGAGAAAACTTCCGTTTTCGGCCAGGGTCTCGATGATTGTGAATGTCTCGATGTGAATCCTGAAAGATTTGAATAGAGGCGTTGGGTTTTTTTTATGCAAGTCCTGAGACTATGAATTTCTGAACCCATGATTTCTTGAGCATCTCGCAGGGTGGACCCCCGGTTCGTGCACGAAGGCCTCCCGTGGCCTGCTGCTCGGAGCCTCTGTGGCAGGAGACGCGGCCCCGGGGGCGGTGCTCCGCCCTGCTCTCCGAGACCTGCCCCGGAGAGATACAACCTGGGGGGCCACATGCGAGCCCTGCCCCTGCCCCCCCACGATTTCTGTCAGAGCCCCGAGTCATCAGGGGTAACTCGGGTCAGGGATAACTCGGGTTCGTTTTTCGGGAATCCGAGCCCGAGTTACCCCGGACCCGAGTTGCCCCGGATAACTCGGGCGCCCAATTCTGAGGGGGAGGGTGGGGTTCACTTCGCTCGAGAGCTCCCGAGCGAAGGGAACCCCACCCTCCCCCTCAGAAATCGTGGGGGGCTAGGGGTAGGGCTCGCACGTGGCCCCCTAAAAGCTACAGACAAGCCGCATGTGGTTTGGCCAGGGCGTGCACCCTCCGCTTGTAGGGAAACCTCGAAGAAGAAAGAACGGCATAGACAGAAAGTTTAGTCGCTCCGCGCGGATTTCTTGGATCGGCGCCTCATTGGCGCGCTCCGCGCGCCAGAGAGGGGGGTACAGGGCAGATCCAAGAAAACCGCAGAGCGCCGAAAGTTTATATCTATGCCGTGCTATGTTCTTCTAAAGCTGGCTACACTGAATGTTGCACCACTCTTCCAGGAACTTGCTCTGTCTGTCCAAGGTCGCCCCGCCTCGTGGAACACCTCCGCAGTCGCTGAGACCCGTAACGAACAGCGTTTCCGCATATGTGATCGCATTCGTCGTTATTGTAGCCCTCCCCCACCCCCACGCTTGGGAACAGGAGGCGATGCGTGCGTGGGACAAGTTCATGGTAGACTACATGGGCGGGGAGGATCTCACTGCGCCAGACGATGGATTCCGCTCCTGCCGCGTGCTCCTTCCCCCCCCCCTGGAAGTGGGCCACTTTGTTCTCTCTCTGGCATTGCAGACCTGCCTCTTCCAACCGTCTCTCTTGTCTTCTTCCGTCCTCCGCCTCGATCCGCTGGCAGCATTCTTCTCGCCATCATCGGGCAAGCGCAGGGAGGGGGGGGGCATGAGGAGGGGAAAACGGGATCAGGGAGCGTGAGCAAATTGTTGCTGGGGCTGGAAGGGCGGAGTCGGGGCGAGCGGGTGGCGTGCCCGCCCCCGATTCCTGCTGCCCTCCCCTAGCCCTCGACGGACCGCTACCTGACGGACTGCTTCCTGTGCAGGGGCTTCACCGACAACAACTTGGGGCGGTCGCCTTGACTGTTTGCGCTGCGCGAGTGTGCTATATCACTGTCGCATGATTAGCCATATGATTTTATATAGTTATAGTGTAATACACAGCGGCTTTCGGTGTGTTTGTATAGATATTTATATCGGAGGTTGGGGGTTGAGTCCGACGTGAAACGGAGACCCCCCCTACCGGGAAATCGATTTCGGTTTCGGGTTCGTGTCGTGCGTGCCGTGCGTGCGTGCGGGCGAGGCGAAGCTGCGTGGGCGGGCGAGAGGAAATCCTCCTGTGGCTGGGCCGCGGCCGGACCAAATGTTTCTCCTCCGGCGGCCGGTGGCCCGCGGTGTCCCGCCAGTGCCCCGCTGGTGTCCCGAAATCCTCCAGTGGCTGAGCCGCGGCCGGACCAAATGTTTCTCCTTTGGCGGCCCGTGGCCCGCGGTGTCCCGCCGGTGTCCCGCTGGTGTCCCGAAATCCTCTTGTGGCTGGGCTGCGGCTGGACCAAAAGTCTCTCCACCCGGCAAACGGTGCCCCGCGGTGTCCCGCTAGTGTCCCGCTGGTGTCCCGCCGTGGCTGCGGCGAGCTATCCAATGAGAGTCTACATGCAAGCCGTCATGCAAACCGAAGAACACATCGAAATGCAAATCGACGCTTGCGGCGAGCTTTCCACTGCAAGTCGGCATGCAAATCGAGATGCAGATCGAAAAGCAGATCGACATGCATATCGATGTCGACATGCAAATCGAGATGCAGATCGAAAAGCAAATCGACATGCACATCGATATGCGCACCACAGGCATCGTCAGAACAACAGTCACCACTGTTGCCCATTGCTGCCCCCACAACCTCCTTATCACCCGCAGGGTGGTCGTATAGGTATGTACATGTATGCATAAACATACATGTGACCTGTATGCATGTACACATCAGAGTAAGGGGGTCGCACGGTCAGTCATTGTCCCTGGGTGCGTGGCTAAAGTGAGAATCCGTGGTGAGGATTCTGCTGATTGCGTTGTTGTTGTTGATGGCTTTTTCTTATTGGAGAATAATTATATAATTATTCCTAATGATTATATAATATTCTTAGGAAGGGAGGATCAACAATGATTACTCTTAATAATTATTCATAATAATCATTATTGTATAATTATTCTTAGGAAGGGAGGATCAACAATAATATTATTGTTGATCCTCCCTTCCTGTGCACATTCTATTCTTTCAACTGAAGCGCCGCTTCCGGCGCTCAGGGAAGGTCTTCCTCCTCAAATTGTGCCCCTGGCCCCTGGTCTACAACAACATCAACAACGGCTCCCGCTTGATCTTTCCTCGAAATTTACTGCGATCCCCCGCTCACGCTTGAGACTTCCTCGCAACTTACCCCAGAATCGCGCTCCCGCCTAAGACGCTTCCGCAATCTACTCCGGCGCCGCGCTCTGGCCATTCAGGAATCGCGCGTTCGCTGGGGACTTCCTGAAATTTCCTCCTTGCTTTTTTTGTGTTCTCTCTCTTTCTCCCTTTCTCTTTCTGTCGCTCTCTCTCTCTCTCTCTCTCTCCTTTCTCACTCCTCTTGCTCTTTTAGGGGCTGCGCCCAATACAGGTGGCAGGTCAGGAAGATGTACCACCCAGAGGGGGTACGATCGAAGACGAAGAGGGGGCGAGTATCGGGGGTTTGGGATATACGTAGTGAGGTACTCCCGAGCAGATAAGAGCGAACAGTCTTAAAATGATTATTGTTGTGGCTGTAGTTGTTGTTATTGCTGGTGCTGTTGCTGCTGTTGTTGTTGCGGTTGTTGTTGCTGTTGTTGTTGTCGTTGTCGTTGTTGTTGTCGTTGTTGTTGTTGCTGTTGTTGTTGTTGTTGTTGTTGTTGTTGTTGTTTTTGATGTTGTTGGTGGTGTTGTTGTTGTTCTTGTTGTTGTTGGTGTTGTTGTTGTTGTTGTTTGTTGTTGGTGTTGTTGTTGAACATTATTTCTTCTTAAGAATAATTATTGTTGGGACCCCTGGTGCGCGCCCCCCCCGCCGCGCCTAGGCCGCAGCCACATTTTCATCATTTTCGTGAGGAAGCCTCAGGTAAAACGATGTGATCCAGATCCGGTTGTTTTGTTCCCCCCCGCTTTCCCTTGCAAAAAACACTATAAAATGACATTTCTTGTTCTAATATAATCAAATTTCAAGAATCCCTTGCAAAAAATAAGGTAAAGTGGACATTCGCGCGCGCAAGACGAAATCCTTCCAAAACCTTAGTGTTCGTAGCGATTTTAACATAAAAACATCAAAAAACCAATGGTTTTTCAAAAAAAAATGTCAAAATTTCATCCCGCGCGCTCTTGCGGATTCGTAGGAAACCCAACACTTTTTAAACATTTCTGTCAAACGGGCTTTTGCGAGCAACTTTTTCGAACTTCTGCTACAACGGTTGCGCACCTGCCAGGGCCATCATCCCTGTCAAATAATACCATGCGGGACACATTCGTTTTTTCTTCGCGCGCGCACGCCGTCGTCGTCGGCCGCGGGGCCCTGAATAGTAGCCACGGTCGTCCGCATGCCACGAAGTGAAGTGTCCGAACGTCATAGGGCGGGAAGCTGGGTGTGGGTGGTGGCGAAGAGTCGTTTGGAAATTTGGTAGAGCTTGAACCGGCCCCCCCACAAAGTGGGGGTATTGCCCGCCTCCTATGAAAACCCTGGCACTGGTGAGAACGGAGTGTCCCCACGTGCTGGTAATTGTTGTTGTTGTTGTTATTGTTATTGTTATTGTTATTGTTATTGTTATTGTTGTTGTTGTTGTTGGTGTTGTTGTTGTTGTTATTGTTATCGTTATTGTTATTGTTATTGTTATTGTTGTTGTTGTTGTTGTTGTTGGTGTTGGTGTTGGTGTTGGTGTTGGTGTTGGTGTTGTTTGGTGTCGTCGTCACACCCGCGACCCACCCGCGACCCACCCCGCGACCCACCCGCGACCCACCCCGCGACCCACCCCGCGACCCACCCGCGACCCACCCCGCGACCCACCCCGCGACCCACCCGCGACCCACCCGCGACCCCACCGTCGACCCACCCGCGACCCGGCCCGCGACCCCACCCGCGACCCACCGTCGACCCACCTGCGACCCAGCCCGTGTTTGAAAAAAGCGGCGCCTGCGACGGGCTCGTTTTATATAGCTTGAGAACGTTTGCGCCTGCGGCGGGCTTCTTCAGAGTCTCGCAGACTGCCGACGTACCCGCCGCCCCCTCACTCTTATCCGCAATTGCGGGGTGCTACGGCGTACAACGGCTTTCGGCCCATCTCGCCACCGTGCCTGGGTTATGATGCCTTTCGAGATCTCTTTGGAGGCCTCCCGCCGGAAACCTCTTGGATTCAGTTTTGGAGTTTCTTGGGGGTCTTTCGGGGTTTTCTTCGGGGGCCTCCTGGGGCCTGATGTGGGCCTTTGGAGGGCCTCTTGGAGCTTGTTGGGAGCATCTTAAACCGCCTGCTGGCGGTTTCGAGGACCATCATGGGGCGAAGGGCTTGAAATGTGGCTTAGGCCTGCAGTTTCACGCCTCCTGATCAGCCACTGGAAAGGACTATCGATATTGCACATGCAAGGGAGGTGGGCAAGCACGATGAATCGATAGGGGGATCGCCACGAAATTGCAATCTTCCGTCCTGCCTCGAATACTTCACGTTTGTGCAAGTGTTGAATGCTCCGGTCCAGAGCCGTGTCATTTGTCCGAGGCGCTTCCTCGGCGCAATCCACGAAGTGTTTGGTCTTACGTTGCTCATCACATGGGGCTTGACGTTTTCTGCCCCCACGCTTAGGCCACAATTATTCGAGCATCCAGCTAAAAAGATGATCAGCTCCTTCAATCCGTGCTTCGGTTGGGACTACTTTCCCGCCTCTTGGATCTCAGTCTTCTGCTGTGCGTTCAATGCGTACTTGAGCTACCGATACGCGTGGCTTGCGGGTTTACGGAGGGCGCTTCTTCAAAGCGAGGGCCACACAACATGGGCTAGCGCATTCAGCACATCAACAGCATACGCTCTGGGCCTCTCTAGCAACATCTGGCTGTGCTTGTGGATCCTTGGGCCGAACCCAGAAGACCCGCCAGGTCTCATGGCCAGGAGATCGTTTGGTGGTCCGTTCACACTGGCAGATTCGTCTTTCAGGCCAGTGCCGAATACTTGACTTACATCAGCCTTAATCTCTCCGTCCACTGCAGCTCAAAGAGCGAGACTGTGACCACCATGCAGGAAGTGTTCGCCGCCGTCTCCCGCTATTGCTGCGTATACTTGGTCTTCGCGTACGGCTGCAATCTGGCCTTCCACGAGGTGGATAGCGGCATGCCGGCGCTCGGGTCGGGCTTCTGGACGCAAGCTGCCGACGTCGTTTGGATGGCGTGCGTTATCTGCATCTCCAGCTTCCTGCCAGAGGAGCCGCCGCTGAGGGAGAAATTCGATGTCCAGCAGATCAGATCCCCGCTCGACCAGGAGCTGGAGTGACCTTCAGATGCGCGCACTGTCGCTCGGTTGTCTGCGCGGCGCCAGATGAGCTGCAACGGCAGCCCTGTCGCTGCAAAGATCAGCACTACAGATCGATGTGTGGATATTTCGTGCAGCTGCATTTTGGCTGACGATTTCCACCCCTTGGTTACAGTCGATGACGCGCTACATTTAGTCTGTGCTGCTTAGTCCTCTCCCCTCGATTCCCGCCCCTCCTCTTACAGTCAGGCCGCTGAAGTAAGGAACAGTTTGGGTTCGGAGGGGGTCCAATGCTCCTTAGGTCCTTCCATGGCTGTTCCTCCAGCCCTACTCGTGAACGAACGCGGCTTCTGGGCCTAAAAGGAGCTTCGTTCCTCATTTAGCATTCCTTATTTCAGCGGCCCGACCGTATTCCCAATCCTCCTCTCTGCCCTTTTTCTCGCTCACGCTGGGCACTTGTGCATGTTCCGCCAGCACGAATCCGTGAGGGGCACGCGCGCGCGAGTTTATATATTTTGATATCTCTGCTTCGGCGTGGCATTCCGTAGCGCAGTACAGTCGCAATCATTTCGATGCATCGGCGGGAAGGACGCGGGAACCTGCAGTCCTGAGAAAAAACCTGCAGTGATGTCTCAGAGGCCCTGCCCGCGCCGCCCCGCAAGGGTCTCGATGCCCTGTCCCCCTGGGGACCTACAACACACCCACGAACTCAAGAACCAACTTCCGAATTTCCAGCGAACAACCCCCCGAACAGGAACCGAACAAACCCCCGAACAGGAACCGAACAAACCTCCAGACCTCTACCGAACAAACCTCTGGACCTCCCTGGAGAGGCCGCCTGGAGAGGCCTTCTGGGGCTCGAAGGGCCCCTCCCCGCTTTCAGAGGGCCCGAAGGCGCTCCCCAGACGTCCAGGAGGCCTCCGAGACGGTCCAAGAGCGCGCCAAGACGCCCAAGATGGCTTCTAGACAGCCCGAGAGGCCCCCCAAGCCCCCAAGAGGGCTCCAAGAGGACACCTATGAGGGCCGCAAGATACAAACACCGCCCCAATTCTTTGGGGAAGCGTATATGTTTAGCGTCTTCCCTTCTTGGGTATGAATAGCGTCCACCACGGCATGAGAGAACCCCAAGATCGCTCCAGGACATCCCAAGGGGCCTCCAAGATGGCCCAAGAGGCCCTCAAGATCGCCCCAAGACGTCCCACAAGGGGGGGCCCGGACCTCCCCCGAGGCCCCCAGGCTGGCCCAAGAGGGTCCCAAAGCGCCCCATGTATTCTGGAAGATGGCTGAGGAGCGCACTGAGATGGCCTCCAGACGGCCCGCGAGCGCTCGCAGACAGCCCAAGACTGCTCCTAGACTTCAAGACGGTTCACGAGGCCGCCGAGAAGGCCCCCCAAGGGCCGGGAGGCCCCCAGGAAACCCAAAACAGTGCCCAAATTGGTCTCCAAGAGACCCCGAAGCCCCCCGCAAGAGGCCCAAAATTGTGTTCCGAGAGACTTCCAAAGAGACACAAGACACGTCCATGAGTCCTCTGGCCCACAACACAGGCGTCTTCCCATGATCGGCCTCAAACCACCGTCAAGGCTGCTCCAGAGAGCCCCGGATCTCCCCCAAGACGGACGGTTTCGAGGAGATTCTGGAGGCCCCAAGAAATTCGGGAATTTTGAGTTTGAGTCAGATGCTCATCCATTCAGGACTCAGGACAGAGAATTCATGCGCGAACCAAGCAAGTCCATCTCTCGTTCAAGTGCCGTGTGGGATGAATAATGCTGGGGTATTTTGCATTGCGTGGCACTGCAGCCCAGGGTAGCAGCGCCTTTCACACAGCAGTGTCCAGCGAGCTGCAGCCCAAGGCAGCAGCTCATGTACAGTGCTGGCCGCTGCATCTCCCCGGCACCTTCTGCTGAGAGAGCAAGCGAGAGAAAATCCCCGCGGCAGAGCTATCACAGAGAAACAACATGGCGGGCTGACGGACGACGGACGTCGGACGACGGACGAAGACGATGGGGGAGGGGACCTGGGGTGGCCCTGGGGTGGCCCACTTTTCCCGAACTCCCCCCGTCGCAACCCAATTGGCCCCCCCCTTGGCTCTGGGACCCGCTTTGGGGTCTTGGGGTGAGCCTTTCGACCTGAAGAGGGTTCCGAGCTGGTTCAGGAGGACGCCCGCTGGCCGCCACGATGGGTCCTTAGTGGTCCAAGACGCTCCAAGATATTTCAAGGCGGCCCCCAGGGGCCTCAAGATGCCCCAGTGAAGCTCCCAAAGGCCCTCCCAAATGACCCAAGAGAGCCATAAACGCAAAAACCGTTCAGGTTTCTCCATATTCAGTAAACCTCACGCTCGTCTCCTTCGGATGGCTTCTGGAGATCTTCACATGGCGCCGAGGCTCGAGACGGCCCCACAACTTCGAAGAAGAGTCCAAGAGGGCCTCACGCGGGCCCCAAGGCTTTCAAGGCAGCCCAAGCAGGAAGATCCACAAGAGGCCCGTACACTTCAAGCCAGCCCACTTCATATTCAATCTCCCCACGCCGGCCCTGAACAGCCCGAAGCCCCCGCATAATCCCAAGCAAGAGGAGGCCGTCGATAAGAACGAGAAACGAAAAGCGAGGACAACCGAGAGAGACTGGAGGGTTAACGAGGAAGGACGTATAAGGAATATTGGAGGACGGAGTAAGGCAAGGCATGGAATGAGCCGGTCCGAAAAGCACGCAAAGCTAGCAACGCCATGGTATGCGCTAGAACCCAAGCGCGCGAAGCGCGCGCGCGGTTCTAGTTGAGGATGGGGGGGACGTGGAGGGGAAGGTGGAGACCATTTCGAGAAACTCTCTCGCAGCCTACAGGCTGGCCGCGAGGGAGTTTCTCGAGCATCGCCGCGGGGGCGGTCCAAGATGTGGTTCGCAAGGTACTCAGGCCCGTTTTGCCTGAGACATCCTCCGAACCCCGGTCTACTGCGAGATGCCCTGAATTGAGGTGCTTTGGCCCGTTTCGCTGGAGACGTTCTCACAAATCTTGGTCCCAAGACGTAGTCCGCGATGTGCTCAGGCCCGTCTCGCCTGAGACATCCTTGGAGTCCCTGGCTCCGAGAAGCCCTGACTTGAGGTGACCAGCGTTTTGTCGATGCACGGTCGCTTTGGCCGTCGCCGCGACCTTGAGCTGGCCGATGCCGTCGGGATGTGGATTTTTGGCTCTTGCTTTCGCGCTGCCCTGGGGCCTCGGGCTCGCCAGGCGGTCAGGCGCTGGTGCGTGAGTTTTTTGTTCGTCTTCTTACACTGTGCCCGGCCCAACGCCCAGGTCTTGCCGGGCAGCCGTGCGCCTTCTGCACCCGGAAGAGATGTGCGAAGCAAATTTTGTTGCGAGGCAGATAGGGCCCCCCAAAACAATCATGCGTATTTTACAGTGTGCATGGCGTCCTGAAACTAGTGGTCTTCCAAACATCAAATGGTATTATCATGCGCACCTCTCCGAGGGAGTAGAGCTCAGAGACGATTAATGCGTACGCGGGGCGCCGCGTCCGCGATGTTTCTGGCCGTTTCGCTAGGGACATCCTCGAAATTCTGAAAATCGGTGGCACCCCTCACGCAGATCGTGACGTCAGGGTCCAAAAACATATGGGAATTTCAACATGCTAATATAAAACCTTCAAAAACACATTGTAATTACAATAATTTTGACCCCGATTCTCAGAGAATGGCGGTTTCGCCTGAAACATCCCCATGACATCGAGCCCCGACGTACCCTCTGGTACCCCAGACCCCGCCTCGGAGCCTCTTGGGGGCCTCCCGGAACCTCCTGGGGCCTCCTTGGGCTTTCTGAACCTTCTGGTACCCCAGATCCCGCCTCGGAGCCTCCTGGGGGTCTCCTGAAACCTCCTGGGGCCTCCTGCGGCCTCCTGGAGCCTCTTGGGGCCTCCTGAAGCCTCCTCGAGTCTCCTGGGGCCTCCTGAGGCCGCCTGGGGCCTCCTGGGGCCTCCTGGGGCCTCAGAACTACATGCACACACAGAGACACAAATCACGCCCAACACATCACACGCTAGACACACATAAAACACACACACACACACACAACACCTACAACGCACAAAAAGCACGCACAACACAGCACACACATCACACACACAACACTCACAATCCTGGGGCCTCCTGGAGCCTCTTCTGGTATCCAAGACGGGCCTCCTGAGGCTTCCTGGGGGGCCCTGGTACACACATCGCAAGATGTGGCAACCCCACTTGCGCTCGAGTGCGACTTCGCTGTTGCATTTCACTCCTGTGTCAAACGCCCCGTCAGTTTTTCGAATGAGCCTGGGCACACACGTGCCACCTGTATTGCCCTAGAACATATAATCTGTCCGACTGAAATCTTGTCAATCGGTGTCTGTGTATGCGTAGTGTTGTTCAAGGTGTGTTTTGCTGTTTTGAGATGTGCGTTGATGTTGTCTGTGTTGCCCTGTTGATTGAACTTTGAAACTGGTTGACTAAATTGTACATGTGTGTTCTAAAGTTTGCGTGTTGTTGTTCTTCATTGTGCTTCAAGTGTGCGCTAGTTTTGTTTAAAACTGTTGTGTAGCGCTGCAACGTGTACACTATTGTCTTCAAGTGTGCATCATGCTCGTAAATTATACATTGCCAAAGTGTGCAATGTTATCCTGAAGTGTGCGCTCATGTTCTAACGTTTGCGCACTGTTGTTATAAGGTGTGCGTTTTGTTGTTCTCAAGTGTGTGCACCCCAGGTTGTATGATTGATCCCGCAAGTTTCAAGTAGCATGCACACCACTTTTACAGTACATTAGAGCACAACGATGGCACTTAATAATTAGTTCCATGTTAATTATCAAGATGTTCTGGACTAGTTTAGCAGCGTCTTGCGTTCTTATATCGCTTATGCGCCTTGGTATAGCCCTGACGGCTTTCTATCGGATTCGTGTTGTCTTCCCGTCTATCGCAATACGCGATTTTCGCCCCCCACGTTCGCGGGCGTTCCATTTAAGAGACGCGATTTGCGAGGCTATGGGCGAAGTTACCCGTCTTCTTTAAGCATGTATCCGTGGTGAGTGCATTGTATAATGCAGGGAGAGATCTCACTTAGTTTTAGTTTAGCAGTTGTAAAGCATCAATTCATCGAGCAATCCTGTTTTTGATGGAATTGTTTTGGGGAAGCATGTGTTGTTTCAGGTAATATATATATATATATATACATACATCTATATATATATATATATATAGATGTGCTTGCTCTCTAGCATTGCAAAAAGAAAGCGGCAGAAACAAAATTTGAGCGAGCAGGCTTAGCATTCAGCGACGTCTCGTTTTTAGCAATCCTTGAATTTTCGTGCGAATCGGTTACGATGCGCGTATTTGTTGCGGTTCGCTGGTTTGTTTAAGGTTCCAGATTTGTCATTGCAAGTTGAGAATTTTCTGTTTGGTCGGGAGGTTGTTCGGCACAGCTTCTCGGGCGTGTTCGTGGTGGAAACTTCGGTGGAGCTCGCCATGGGGCCACGATGTGTTTTTGTTCATTGTTTGGAGCATAGCGGGCGTTATAACCGCCGCCCCCCCCTATGACGTAACGCCCCCCCCCGCCCCAGTGCGCTCCGGGCACTGCCGCCGTGCGCGTCGGGATCCGCATAGGCGTCCGTAGGAATCTACATAGGTGTCTGGTCCGCATTGGGAATCTCATGGGGATCCGCATAGGGATGCGCATGCGCATCCGC